ACATTGTACTTCGTCGGATTTTGATTGCTATTTTAATTTTATATAACTTGCCAACTTCTAAAAAACCTGAAACATACGAATAGGTACCACGTTTTATGTCTTCTGCGTTAATTTCTATCTTATTATTATAATTAAAAATATTTAAATTATCATTTGCATGGGATACTTCTTTTCCTAAAAGGTATTAATGTAATTATTAAATATTTAATTCAGCTATGTTTAAAGTGCAATGTTCTTATGAATTATTTTTCATTTTCAATTCTTACAACAGGAGATTATTGAATTATAGGCTATACCTGGTACAAAATATGCATCTGTCGAAAGAACATTGTTGATAGATTAATAAAAGCTGTTTTTATGTCAAAAGTCAAAACCATTAAATCGATAGTTATTATGAAAAATCACTTTAAAAGTTGTATAAATTTCTTTTGAAGCATTCAAAATAATTATTTTTGATTAGTTCTTCAAAAAAGTATGAAAAAAGAGTGGAAAATGTGGAAAGATTATCAACTTCATGAATATTAAAGATGGCTGGTGATGTAATTTTCCTAATTTTTTTTTTAAAAAATGTATTCGTTGCAACATTGTGTTGTTAAAAAAAAATAATAATAAAATGTATTCCTAAATATTTTAACTTTTTTATTATTTAGGTTTGGTTAGTATTAACTCAAAAAGAATTCAAATAATAAGAAAACTTTGTTTGTGATATATCACAAATTTAAACTTTTATACTCTATATTTGGGTGCCTATAATGTAAATACACATATCATCAAGTGGAGATGTTTTTGGTGGTAGGGGTTTTTCTTTTTTTTTGAAGAGGGGAGTAGTAATTATTATTTTTTATTTTCTTAAAATACACCCTTCATACTACTAGAAAGAGTGAAACATAGCATGAAAAGATTCAACCAAATGTACCAGTGTACCACGGAGAATAGCAATATATTTAGAATAGGTACACTCACATAATGCACTGAATTAAATTAGTATTTAGTTTAGTGACAAAAAACAAAAGGTATACAATAAATTGAATTTTAATCTATAATCGACATAGTAGCAAGTGATATATCTCTATTCATTAGAAGTCTTGTTTCAACTTGCAGATAACCATCTATGAATGGAGAATGGTAAACGTTAACTCCTACAAATGTAATATTATAATCTCATACATGGACATAGAGTTAACATACAAAAGATAATAAAAAAGGATACCGCTTGTATCACTGTAAAAATGTATCAGTCTTTCAATATATTAATACATAACATTATACAAAAGTATAAACTTAAAAGTTATAACAAAAATTGTTTGAAAAATATAAATATTTAATAAAACAATAGTCATAACATAACTTATAAATTATAATCATTTACGTTTATTTTCATTGAATACTTTGGAGATAAACTCTAAACGTGAAATTTCTCCTTGTATACCTATATTAATTTTTTTGCATAAGTATCTACGAATTCATATTTTTAAATTATTTTTGTTTATCTGCGTTGTGTCGATAATATACTAATTATAATAATCGCCGACCTTTTAACATTTTGTACTACAATTTACAAATTCCGATATGAACCTGCAATATAAACATAGGTATGCAATAGATGTTGCTAGATATAGTAGTACTAGTAGATTTGTGCTGGTCCCAAAGTGAGTCTTATAACCGAATGAATCTTATAGACGAAGTGGGAAAAAATAATTAATTATATATTTATAAATTTTATTTTACAACATATTAGTTTGCTTTAATTTTAATACTTTAATACATATTATATATTATATACTTATTATTGAATACATTTAATAATCCCGATAAAAAAAAAAAACTAAAATTATAATAAGTATAAATATTGCATATAAAAATATTATAAAAATTATACATTAATAAAAAATTATTATTATTTATTATTTATTTTGAAAATTATTTTTGAAAAAAATTTGTAATTTTAGTTTGTTTTCTATTTTGTTCCAATATTCCGAAAATATACTGTTCATATTTGTATAACTGCGAACTGCACAGCCGCCAGATATGTACCTCACTATAATGATAATAATCGTTGCGATAAATGTGAACTTTTGTCTACAATAAAAATTATTACGTTATAACTTATAAGGTACCAACAAAAACTAGAAATAATCAACACGAATATTATTTTATTTATTATTTATTTTACGAAATTTGATTCTTATAACAGATTTTTTTAATGTTTTTGGATATATCCGAACCGTTTCAGACGATTTTGAGTCTAATAAGCGACTGAACCTTATATCCGTGAGTCTTATAAGCGGTGTCTACTGTATTATATAATATGGATACACCTAACCAGGCTTCAAGAATCATCATACATTGTATTAACACGGTCTTCAAGCCTTTGTATTTTATATATTTATTGTTTTCAAGTTATGATCATTTTTAATCTTTTGAGCAATGATGACAAGTGACAACAAACACCAATGTAAAATAATATTGTCTTATATTTATTGTTATTTAAAATGCATAATTTAACGATACATTTTTTAGGAAATATTAAATATGTTTAGAATTTTCCATTAAAATAGAAAACAAAATTATTTTTGTGTAGTTGATTTTGAATATACATACCTACTTGCATATGCAAGCAAGTGCATAAAATAATATACATTACATTTACTGAACTACCCATAATCGTATACTCAAATTAAAGTTAATTTACAATTATTTATTTCATGACTTACATATTTTAGAATACAACTTCATAAATGTTGAAAATAATATAGAAATTTTATGTAAACATGAATTTTTAATTTTAAGTTTAGGAGTTAAATAAATTAACAATATTAAATAAATATTTAAATTGTAAATAGACATTACATCAATAATTAATTGCAACTTGTGACTGAAAACACTAGTTAACTGAAATAATCATAATAATTGAATATTATAATGACTTTTTTTTTTTAAATTAAAATATGGTAGGTAACAGATTAGTAGATATCACTGAGATAACTCGAAATGAGATTGAAGACTACCATTCATGAAAATAGAAATATCTTAGAATGTTATAAACATAATTATCATTCTATTATAATTGAAAATAAAGATAGTTGAGATATATTATTATATACAGATAGTAGATTTTAATTTTAAATGAAAGTTTAGGAAAAAAAAACATTTAAAAAACTAACCAATTTTATTATTATTATCCATACTTTTATAATATAAATGAAATAACTAAGTAAAATAATTTAAAATTACATAGATTTTAATGGTACTAATCCTAAAATTTTCATTCCAGTACTAAGAGTTTCTCTAGCTCTACGAAACAACAAAATCCTCTGCTGAGCAATAGTACTGCTAGAATTTTTAACATTTAAAACCTTTAAGGCTTTGTTGATACAATTGGATAATCTAAATAAATAGTTAACTAAAATACATGCTTCTAATTCTTGATTAGTTTCAGTTAATGCATCTTCAAATCTGAAAAAAAATATGATATACTTTATTATTATAAAATAATAACTATAGTGATGTAAGATGGTACAAAAATTAATTAATATTAATATTCATCAACTGAAGTTTAAGGAGATCAGAAATGGTGATTAGTAATTATATTTTTTGTCTATTTCTTATGCAATATAATAATTTACTTATCTTCCAATTTTATTATTTTGTTTCATTAGATTACTGAAGACATACTTTATATTGTCACAGTACTACATTTTTGATTTTATCTTATCATGTCTTAGTGTCTCACAAAAACAAATTAAAATATAAGAAAATTTTTCAAATAACTGTATTTAACTTTTGATAAATTCAAGAAAAAATAGTGAAAAACAAAATACAATACTAAATACTTTTCATTGATAAATGATAAATGTGTAATACTATAATATAATAATTAATACCCAATTTTTGTTGTTAAAAATAACTTACCGAGAGATTTCTAAAATTAAATCTAATGCAACAGTTTCAGTAAAGCATTCGGCAATAACTTCCGTAGGTACATTTATATTGGAATTAACTTCTTCTAGGCTTATTAAACGGCAATGGGTATATTGAAGTTTTATACCAGTATCTCCATTTACCTAAAAAAATAAATAAGATAAATAATATAAATTGTAAAATATTTAAATACTTGACAAACATACATGCTTATCACTATTTAAACATTGAAAAAGTGAATTTATTACTTCTAACTAAACTTGGTTGTTGAATCAAAGAAAAAATAAACATAGATAGATACCTGTAATGCTGACTCCCAAGAAAAGTTATAATCTTTTTTTCGTTTTTGTTTTAAATCATTTATTATTATAGCAGATACTCCTAATATATCTGCTACATCATCATCGTTCATTGAATTAATTTTGGTTGCTGAAATTAATTTAGGTAAACAAAAGATAATAAAATTTTATTATTAGGGTTCAAGACTTAAAGCAATATATATATATATATATTTTTTTTAATATGCAAATAAAGTTATAAAGAAAAAAAATAATAATACTGTTAAAATGTTTAAAAGCATACTAACTACTAAGTTAAATTTTGTATTTAATTTCACTATTTACCAAAACAAATTTTTATTTTAGCTAAAATATTTTACAACCAAAATATGAAAATATACATTTGAATAAATAAGTAAATGCAAAAAGTTCTGAACCCTAATTATTATTATTAATACCAACTTTCAGAAAATTTCCTTTTTAAGTTCATAGTCGATTTTGCTTGATTCAAAAGCTGATCTAATAATATTCCCTGGCCTTTTCGTGAGCTCATACCATGTATCCTTCCAAATGGAATGTGGTGTACATTTATATTTGAATTAATTTGTACAATTAAGGATTTAAGTAAATAAAAATGTTTGCTTTGAGTATTATCAACAACATAAAATAGATCTTCAGCACCGTAACATTCATGGCGTCTAAGTGCTGCAGCTATATCTCGTGTAAGATATAATGTAGAACTATCATTTTTTAAAATTGTAATTTCTTGATTATTAAAATGCACAACAATAGATCCATCTTCTTTAAATTTTAATAAACCAATTTCATTGAGTCTTTTTAAAACACCTTGAATATTTTCCTTTGCATACTTTGATTCCCAATCATATTCATCGAAGACTATTCCCAGTCTATTATAAATAACTTCTAATTCATTTTTAGTAATTGATCTAAATTCATTCCACAGGTTTTTGATATCTGTGGTACAATTGCCACATTCTAAATCATTGAATATAGATTTAGCTTTGTTATGAATTCCCGGATCATCGTTTGCCATTTTATTGGCTAGTATATATGCATTGAATAATGATTTTATTGTCATATTGTTATTAGACATGTCTGAATTCATTTGTTCTAATCCTAATAGAGTATAACCAAATTGAGGTCCCCAGTCACCCAAGTAGTTAATACGTACAACACGACCATTGATACAATTTTTTAAGTTAGAAATGAAGTTTCCAATAATAGTTGAACGTAAATGACCAACGTGAAATGGTTTTGCAATATTTGGAGAACTGTAATGATTTTAATATATGTTAATTTGACATAAAAATTAGCAATTGAAAAGTAGTTATATTTCAAATATATATGTTTAACTTAACTTACCAATTACCTAAATTCAATGATGCAGGGTTTAGAATTCTGTACATTATGTTGATGAGTTACATTCATATTGTTTTTAAGTATATTGTTTATAAAATCATTTTTATTCAAATGTATTATTATATGTTGAGGATTTGATTGAGTGGTTGTTATTTTATGACTTGATATTTTTAAATCTTTAAATGAATTTGTTTCAAAGTGTTTTTGAAGAATATTAAGAGGCATACGTAAACCAATATCATTCATGGAACTTCCTTTGCCTATTTTCAGATTAGCCATAAATTCATTTACTACATCTGTTGAATTTTTATTAATTGCACAGGCAACCTGAAACATTTTAAAATAAAAAATAATCATTAAGATCTAACAAACTTATAAAAACTAATGCATTATTCATAGTATTGACATTTTAAAAAGTTTTTAATAGTTTAAAAAATTATTATTTATTGATACATTTATTATAATAATAGTAAATTTCATACATATTTTAGTAAATTGTAGACATAATAGTAAAGTTCATAGTTTATATATTATAATATGTGTTATATTACTTCATTTATTTTATAATATTCTTTTTCTTTACATTCATATGCTAAATGATAAGAAGAAGATAATATAAACAAAATTCCAGAGCTAGCAGTACTAGAAGTAATTATTTTAAGTTTAAACACTTTTTAGATTAAATTACTTTTAATATATTGTATAATACAAATAATATTAATATTAATTATTTTTATCATATCTATAATAATTATTTGTTTATCATGTCATATTTTATACCATGGTAATTATTTGTCAAAACTATTTTTCATTAGTGTAATACATTTTTGTTCATTTGCTTAAAATTTCTAATGCTAATAGCTATACATCTTACTGAATGTATACATATTTTTGTACTCAGAACAAATAAAAAAAAAAATTAAAAATTAAAACAAAAACAAACTCAACTTATAATAATGTAATAGTTTGTTACAAATAAATACCTTTTATTAGTAGCGATTCTTAAATTAAAAACCTATCTACTTAATTTTTTATTTAACTTTAATGTTAATACATTGAATTATTAGATTTTCTAATGATACAGTTTTTACAAAAAATAATAATAATTGAATAATCAAGACAAAAGAGATAATATTATGTTATATTATTTATATTGCATTATATAGATTTGGAGCATACCTACTTTTGACTAAATATTAATCATTCTAAGGACTCATTTTTGCAAGCAATGATTTAATATATAAGTTATTGATTTTTCATAGGTTAAAGAGAAAAAAACATATTTATTACCTTTTCCGCTAAATATCGCTTATAGAGTTGATAATTAGATCTGGATAAAATAGCAATTCGAACCATTGTCATAAACTTTTCTTATTAAGGGTCGTGTAATGTATAATCGTCTCACACAGATAGGTACGTTATGTGACGATTGTAAATTTATTAATCGTTGATAACTATGTCACAAAATTGTTCATATGAAACTTAAAAATGCCAATGGAGATCAGCAACGAGTTTTAGAAATTTAAAGTTGAGTAAGTTGACACCAACACGATATTGTTTAAGTCGGCTAAGATAAATACATGTTTACTGATAAGTAATAAACGATATTTTTTTATCAGTTAGGCGGAAGATAAGTGATAATAGTGAAGTTGTTTTAGGGATGGGAAAAACTTGACCATGACCTCGTTTGCGCATGCGCAAAGATGAAATATTTTCGCGCCTGCGAACGGATGCGAAAGTGCGAAACCCCACCAAGCCGCAGAACAGTGAAGAACAGTAGTACAGTCGCAGTGACCCGTGGTGACTGGTGAGTTGTGAGCAGAATCTCGTTTTGGCACCTCCCCGAAAAGAATTTTTCATTTTCCGTTCTCCCGTGCACATCGCCTAAAGGAAACTGGAAAACGGCGAATAGTTCGTCCATTTGTACAACGACTTAGTTATTAGATACCTAACCACCACCAAATATATTATAATCTCGTCTACTGATGACGAGGCGACTGCGATCTACCGGCGGAATAAATCTGACGACGGTCTTATTGAACCGTGATAAGTAGTGCATGTGTGTGTGTGTGTGCGTGTGTTTTTTTCATTGCTGTCATTATTATTATTATCAGGAACGTCGGCGACAGGCTACTGGCTGGCAGACTGAGACGGCAGTCCACTACATTTGACGTTAGCTAGGAATTAGGGTTCTAGTCTTCTTTTAACGACGCGTTAAAGTTTAGAAAAAGATCGTGTACTCGCGAAATTGTTTGCGAATCTTTTTCGAAGCGATCAATCAGACAGATTTTTTTTTTTATCACTCTCATTAAAACCCATCTTGGTAGGCAGTCTATCTGACGGTAAAACAATATAAAGAGAGAAGGAAAAACGAGAACCGCGCAACACTTAAACTTGAAGAATCATTTGCGATGGCTGGTCAAACGATACAAGATAGACTATTGGCTGCCCGACACAGTTTGGCTGGACAAGGTCTGGCCAAGTCCGTATGCAAGGCCACCACCGAAGAGCTGATCGGACCGAAAAAAAAACATTTGGATTGTGAGTGCATACTTGTTATAAATATTATCATCAGGGTTATTATTAATATTCATTATCAACATGAACTACAATTTAAAATAATAAATAATAAGTAATTTTCTCATTATTGTGTGCAAATGTGCAATACAACTTAAATGTTGTATTACTTAAATTTTATGAAAGAAAGATTTAGATTTATATTAGCTAGTAGGTGCTATAGTAATGATAACAACTTCCAAGTATCATGTTCTAATGATTTTTAAATCTTTATTATATTATTTTACTATAAAATGCTGAAGTATTGGTGTAAAACAATATGAAATTTATAGTTTTTTAGTGGATAAATAATATGAAGGTAACAAGGTGTTTAAAATGTTGTATTTTGTACAAACATAAGGTTAATGAATAATGGTTATCATATATGATATAGCTATATATCACTTGGTTGAACTGTCAAAATAAGGTAAACTTTTACCTATGTTTTTTTTAAATAATATACTTTTGATTTGACTATAAAATATTAGTTAAAATGTCCATTATATAACCCAAATCAGTATTTGACCATAATTTCAATAGGTACCCTATTTTTAATCTCTATAATAACTATATTTTATGTGAAAGATTGGTAAACATCATAAAATTTTCCAACATTTTATTGGTAATTAAATAGGCATATAGATATTTTATTTGTTAAAGAAACTAAACACTAAACTTTTATTTACTAAACAAATGAGTACTTATTTTTTTGACAATATGTAATGTATTAGAACAAAATATAAGATTTATCTAAATTTAGCTATTCAAACAAATAATACAGGTATATCTGTGATTAAGTATCCATAATTTATATTTCTTTTAATTTTTTCTACAATAAGAATAATCTACCTTTTCTAATTCAAGTTAAAACCAATTTAATAATTATTTATTTTCTTTATTTTTAATAAGTATCTATTTGATTCTATAATTTTTATATAGATTAAGTATTTAATACTCTGCTAAAAATCCTAAAAGTAAATCATCTTCTTATGGCCAAAGTTTCATACATTTTGCTATGAATTTTACCCATTTAACTTGAATATTTATATAGATTTGTTGTTTAATTTAACATACCTAACCAAAGAAGTTTTAAATTTTAATTAAATTGTTTATATCAGCGGTTCCCAACCTTTTTGAAACTATTAAATATAAAATGGGTTCAAATACCCCTCTCCTTCACAATAAATTTAGTACAAAAAAAACAAAAAAATAATTAATAATTTTAATTAATTAATTCAAAATAAAAAATTTTTTACAACTACTAAGTGGGTAATAATAAAAAAAAAATGTCTCATCTTTACTTCTCAGAAAAACATGTTTTATCTTTTGAGGGTAATTATACCCCTAAGTTCAGAACCACTGGTTTATACAATTCATATTGAGCTAACCATAGCCACTAGGATGCAAAAACAGTCAGGGCTTTAAGTTATGTATGTTTTGAAAGGCCCTATAGACACTAAGATTTATAATATATTTTGATTTAATTACAGATTGTCTTTCTTCCATATTGTATATTTTAATCCTAAATTAAACATAAGTACATAATATTATTTAGTTAACTACAGTAAAATAATAAAATATAATACTACAATCATTTGTTATTTATATAAGTGATTAAATTTATTTACAGACATATTGAGAACTGAAATATCTATAACTTTATTTGCTACTATGTATATATGGAATCAATCCATATTACGGAATCAAATATAGTTTTTAGAAATAGATATTATTTTTTCAAATAGCATTCCTTTATTGATATGATGAGAGAGATCCAATAGGGATCTTGGTAACTTAGTTAAAAAATAAAATTAGAAACATCAAATAGGTATGTTATATTATATTGCAATTTTTTACTATGGTTATTCATGAAAAGGTTAACCTTCAAGTAGCTGATTAAAATTTACAACTATTTCTATCTAATTTATAGCATGATATTAATCTTTTCATAACTCATAACTACTGAAGGTATCTGTTTACTTTTGCAAACTAAAACTGTAAATTGTTTGTAAGCATGTTAAATAACATTTGCTGTATAAACATTAATTGATTTAAAGAGCAATGTTAATAACATATTAGATTTATGCCAAAAGTGACGTCTTGTTCAAAGAATTAAAGATGTTTTTCATAAATAATAATAAAATAAATGTATTTAAAATTGATTGATTTATGTTACAATTAATAGATTATATTATTTCAAATATTTTTTCTTCTATTGTATTTTTTATGTATAGAGCAAAAAAAGTTTCAGAAATCTTTGGTACTTAAACAACATTACTAATAATAATAGTTCAACTATAATTATCAATTCTAAACTTGCATTTCTATGTAAGTAATTATCATTTTTTTTTCTGAATTAATCATTTTATTTTTTATAAATTATTATTATCATTAATAGATGTTAAAAAAATAAATAAATAAGGAAAAGTGCCAATTGATAACTACTATGTTTTATATTACCTATCTAGGTATCTACAGTAGTAATTCTCCTCAACATTTTTATGGATTAAAAAAGTATAATAAATATACTTGTATCTAAACTTTTTTAAGATCAAATTAAGTACCTATTTTTGTATGTTTAGAATGGGGTTAAGTATCATTGTTAAAAAGTACCTTACTAATATCATACTAGGTAGATAATTTTTGTAATATCAGAAGTATTAACAATAATTATTGTTAGTATTACTATAAAATTTTATACCAAAGTTGTAATTTTATAAAAAATGTAATTTACATTTGTTGTTTTCTATTAAAATGATGGCATATAGTAAAGTTTACCTTTAAATTTAATTTAATCTAAAAAGTTCTTGGTTAATATTAATATTTTTATTCTATTGATTATAAAAGAAAATTATTGTGAATTTTCACTCAAATCATTTATTCAGGTTTTTGGTACTTAATGTGTTAAACACTAAAATCATTAAAATTATAAATCAAAATTAAGTAATTCAAAAAAAAATTAATTTGAAAAATATATATAGGTATGAATCTAATATTTTAGATTATAAAATATTCTTTAACATTTTATTTCAATTAATTATGTTATAATACTGATAGATTATACTACTGAATAAATAAATAAAAATAAACTTTAAAATGTATTGATACTGAAGTATAAAATATTTTTAAAGTTTTGTTTTAACCAGATATTTTATTTGGATGTTTTAAAAATGAATTAAGTATTTGGATTCTTTGTATTTTGAGTGAAAGACATTGAATTATATTTATTATAAAGTACTTACCTATATTTGTATAATGCATTTACTTATATTTTCTTGTTAAGTATCAAACATAATTATTAAAATTAATGTAATCCAAAAATATAATTAAAGGTTTTAAAAAATTAGTTTTTTAATTGGCTATTTTGATAAAAAAAATTACAAATTTAATAGGCTATTAACTAATATTTAGTTTTTAGTCTAAAATGACTATATTGTAATCAATATGTTTAGTAAAATAAGTTAATTACTTACAATGCTAAAATTATGATTATGAATTTATTTTTAATTTAAATTAGCCTCGTATTTTCTAAATTATCCATGTTGTATCTTATTATGTTACAATATTTAATATTAATTAAGGAAATAATCTAAATAATCAGTTAGAAAACCAATCCAAGTAAAAATAAGTATAAGTAAATTTTTAATTAATAATATAGTTTTTCAATTATATTATTAATTAGAAATTAAGTATTGTTAATCACAATAATAATATAAAAATAATAATAGGTAACTAACCTAATTTGGCTTTTTGCTCTTATTTATTATTTAATTAACATCATTAGTGGCTAACATTTAGTTCATATAAACAACATAATCAAATTTAAAGTTTGGAAAGAATATGTTGATAGTTGTATAAAAATGTATATTTATTTTCAAACTCCTTTAAAATTGTTTTTCGTTTTGTGTATCAATATACAATTGTTATATGTAGACTAATATCATAGTGTTTGATAAATACTCTGCAATACACTATTATTTTAAAAATGTTGTATATTAACATTCACTCATCTAA